TTTTTTTTTTTTTTTTTTTTTTTTTTTTTTGAGAAAAAGACTTAAATCTGAGTGAGCAGAGCAGTACTGTTTTTTTTTTTCAAGGGTGTTGGCTTTGCTTGCGTAAACTTCTAAAGGTAGGTCTCGAAGACAAATTTGTTTTTTCATTTAGAAGGTTTCGCTTTGAGGTGAACACAATAATGATTCTCACTGCATTTTCCAATTTATTTTAAGAAACTGCTAACTGGTGAGTTAACGTTATCATAGTTGGCTTTTGAATTGTTATAAATAACCTAAAATTACTTTTGTATATGGGGATATTAACTGAAACATTTGTTAACTGTGGATTTTATTTTAGTTTTTTTACGGGGATCTACTTTTATACTGTGTTTCTGGCTTGTTTCTTAAAATGCATAGTATAGTTCTTCTTAGCGCTTTTACTTCGTCCTCACAAAGAGATTGTTGAGCTGTTTTTTTAAATTCTTGCCTGGACGTGACTATTTCATTAAGTTAGTAATATGTGACATTTACACCTCTACAATTTTCGGATGGTTTTTTCTGTCACACAAATCTTTGACTTGTAAACATGTTTCTTTCTTCATCATTTCTTACAAAAATTGTGGGTTCTTTTTTTTTTCAGATTCCTTGAAATATCAGGACTATCGCCTTTCCGCTGACCTCCATGTTGTTCGGTTGACACAGAAGGAAGTGCACATAGTTGCTGTAACTTTTTACCAGCGATCTCTTCAAATCAACTTTCAGTGTCGGTCAGCATTTGAAAATTCAAATAAAATTTCCGGATAAAGAACTCAGTAATGTTTTTGATGAAGCAGTCTACGTCTCTTCTACAAAAATGAGACATTAAGATGAAATTTAGAACGAAAGACTACGTAATATAAGTTTTAGTGTTGTTGCGTTTAGGTATTTTAAGAGCGCGCTTTTGTTACAATCGGAATGTTAGATTTTTATCTTTATATTAATGCAATAAGAGTTTAATTTTCAATTTTTGGATTTTTATTGGTGTGAGGTTTAGTGGACGTTGGTTTGCTGCGTTTAAATTATAGCGTATACGTTCAGTGTTCAATAAATTTTGTTTTTTTTTTATTAGATTTTCAATGTGTTTATGGGGAAAGTTCTTTTTCTTGAAGGTTTAACCAATCTGCGTTTCACGCAAACAAATTTTTTTTGAACAATCATTCAGCTTATTGCTGTTTGACATTTAAGTAATGCGTATCTGCAACAGCAGCCAACTGAAGTGTCTTAAAACATCGCTTAGAAATTTTATGTTTTTTTTTGCTCAGTTTTTTTGCATTCAGATCGGATGAAGATCCCTTATTGACGAAATACAATGCTTCCAAAGATAGTCAGTTTATTTGGCATGCTGAATTAGCTGGTGAGATAGTTCCTGAGGAGTGCGAAATGAGAAGTCGAGGTAGGGAATTTGTACTGAAAAAGCGTAATCCTTCTGAGTGGAACTCTAGCTTGCTTCAGTGCAATCCAACTAGCACCATTGCACCATACTCTTCTGGACGTTCTTGCACTACGTCGTAAGTTACTTGCGATTATATTTATATTAGTTTTACACCACATTTTTTGGACATTGTTTGGTTTCCTTCGAAAACTTTTTTTCAGACGGTCTATATCTTACGTGTATTCTCACTCTTCCGAAAATGATAGGTTTAATCAAACATCGAATCATTATTTACGATCCTCTGTTTCTCGTGTTCTTCCTCCCGATTACTCGAATCATACTTTCACGCAATCTTCGTCTAAAAATAGTTTGCCACGCTATTCACCTACTGTACGGTCACAGTCAACTAGTTCTCTTTCTTCTAGGTTTGTATCTTTTATAGGTTTAATTTTGTTAACTCGGAGTATCATTTTAAAATTGCGTCTTGAAAAAATTGAAGATGATTGAAGGGTGAAGCTTTTTTAATTCTTCTTCATTTTTTAGTTTAATTTTTTTGCCATCTTAAAGGTGTAGACCTTATGTTTGTTGTAGGAAAAACTTGCCTTCGACTTTCAGTAGTAGAAGTTCTAACGACTATCGTTACACACAGTCGCCGCATCGCCTTTCGACTCATACAAATAACCTTTCAGCTCAACCTGTAAAGATACATGTTTTGCTGAGTCGTCTCTCGTCATTTTTTACTTTCTTGTAGTTGAAATTTTAGAGTTTCGCTAGAGAAAAACGTACTGATCCTGGTTTCACGGGTCTTCGCAATATCGGCAATACGTGTTTTATGAATGCGACGTTACAAATGCTTGTTAACTGCAAGGAGTTAAAAATTTTTTTCACTGGTAAAAGTTTTTTATACTTTTTTCTTTGGAAACTTGTGTGTATTCAGAAGTTCTAATTTCATATTTGTCTTTATTGGAGAGTGCAAAGTGTTTTTCAGAGGATGCAATTTATTCAAAAAATATCAATAAAACCAATCCACTTGGTTTTCATGGAAGGTTGGCAGATGCATTTGCAAAATTTATGAAAGAAATGTGGAGTGGATTGAATCAAAGTTACGAGCCTACTCTCATAAAGGTCGCTGCAGATAAAAGTTTTTCTTTGTAATGACTAATGAAGTCTCAATTGTAGAAACATTTTTCATTTTTATCTGGCTTTTTGGCTTTTTAATTGTGGTTTTAAATTGCTGATTTTTTAGGAGCTTGTTGCTGAAAAGGCGCCTCAGTTTGCAAACTTTGCTCAGCAGGATGCTCACGAGTTTTTAAGTTTCTTACTCGATGGCCTCCATGAGGACCTTAATCGAGTTGAATCAAAGCCTTACACGACTACTGTTGAAGCAGCGGGCAAACAGGATGACGAGGTTCGATTATCACCTCATACTTTTGTTCATCCTAAGCTTGTTACTTCTGTTTTTTACAAATGGTGCTTTGAGTGATCTCTACCTTTCACAGGTCTCTGAGGAGGCTTGGAAAAACCATTTGCTGCGAAATGATTCAATTTTTGTCGACCTTTTCCACGGACAACTGAAGTCTCGACTAGAGTGTCCTAAATGTGGAAAGGTATTTTTTAAAAACTACTTGAGAATATATAAATAAATGTAGTAGAAAGTTAAGTTGATTTTTCTTGTATATTTGGTGGGACTTCCTGTTCTATTTGAAAGGTTCTCGATGTAATGTTAAGTTCTGGCGAGACCGGTGTTTGCTCCAGTTTTATCTTATTTTGTACCGACAGCATCTGGTTCCTAACTCATAATAAACTTAAACGGTTTATTTGCATCACTGCGACAAATTAAGCTATATTTCTTTGAACAAATTCATCTCCCTCTTCAAAGCTTTTTTAGGTGGTATAATTAATTAGATGACTTTAGGTTTCGGTGACTTTTGATCCTTTTGTGTACTTAGCCGTACCATTTCCAAAGGAGAAGCGTACGTCTGTTGTTTTTTACTGGCCTGCTGATGTGCTTTCGAGCCCCTTTAAGGTATTTGTTTCGACATTAAGAATTAGACTTTTTCATTTTATTTATTTATTTATTTTTTTCTTTGGATATGTAACAGTCTTCTCTGTTTGTCTTTTCTCTGCTAATTTCGTTTTGCTATGGAATTGTATTTGAGTTAACTGTGCGGTTCAACGTAGATGGTACTGCATCAGAAATGTTGGCTGCAGTAAGCAGTCTCGTCAAAGTACGTGAAAATCTGGTGAGTGATGTGACGGAGTTTAAATTTTTTTTTTTTTTTTTTTTTTTTGCAGTTGCTGAAAGTTAGTCAGTCAAATAAAGTTTTATTTTGCCATCTGACACTTTCGAAGAGAATGCATTTTTTAGCTGCGCTTGGTTAAAGTCGGTGATCAGTGTATTAAAAAGATCTATGAGCCGAATGAAAATATTGATGATGGTGATTCGTCAACTGCCCTTTATGTGTAGGTCTCTTGTAGCCTTCTTTATTTAGGGACTGTCTTTTGACTTCATATATTTTTTAGGGTACTTTATGTATTAGGGTAGTTTTTTTGCTGCAAGGCTGTATTTTCTGTAACTCTTTTTAAATTTAAGGTTTGAGCTTCTGGACCCTGCGAAATATGGAGGTGAAATTGTCGAAATTCGTGTTGTTCAGAAGTACCGAAATACACCAGAAGGAACTTTTAGTAGGTATCCCATGAAAGATGCGATGCCACCTTTTGGGGAGAGCCACGATGCGTTTGGTCGTGAAAAGTATGTTTTTTTATCAAATAACTACTGCATAGAAAACGATCTGAGCAAAACTGGTAGAAATAACTAGTAAAATTTTCATCTTTTTTAAGAGGGTTTGAACATGAAGATAATTCGAGGTATATGCAGCATTGCGGGAAAAGACCTTCATTGGAGAACGTAGGTCTTCCGTTTGTCATTTCTGTACCAAGATCGAAGGCGACTTTATCGAGCTTACGAAGTGATTTGAAATCTCGGCTCAGGTACAACTATATGACCCAGTTATTATTACGTCATTGTGGTGATGAATGAATAATAAGTCAAGCTTAGCAGCTCAATTAAAAATGTTGTTGAAGGAAGCGAGTAGTGTTTTGTTTTTTTTATTCATTTTGTAACGGTTCGATTAATAATTTGAAGCTATCTTTCTGAGTTAGAAAGAATTTGAGAGAAGAGAATGGTAGGATTAAGGAGGGAGACAGTGGATAGAGGCAGCCAGTCACGAACTGCAGGTGGAATTTTGTCAGGATAGGAAGGGCTACAAAATGGAATATTTGACAGAATAATGGTTTATAATAAACTACTTGTTATACTTGCAGGCATTCTGTAAGTTTTCCTAAAACTTCTGCAGAAAGTCCAACACACCATTGTGATACTAGGACTGATACAGAAGACAGCAACGGAAACATGGAAGCCCGAAGTAACTCAAAAAATGCTTCTTTGGATCAGGATCCTGTCCAATCATCTAATGGAAATATGGTTGAATTTTATATACTTTTTCTTTGAATTAGTAACTTGCTGCATTTTAATCATTTTCATATACAGCCGTCAGTTTTTTTCGGTTCTATCAGTTACCTTATTAGTTGTATTCTTCCTTTTTATTAATAATTAACTGCTCATTCAATTGTAATAACAAAAATATTTCAGTCAGTGGCTACTTTTAGAGTTCCAAATAATTGGGTCTTATTTCGTTGCCTATTTTAAGTTTTAAGTTTTCTGGGTTTAGCGTTCCGACGTTAATTGTGGAAGTAAGGAATTGTCAACTTCTTGCACTGAACGTCGAGATGAGATTGACGATGACCAATTGTTTTCAATACGGAAGATGAAGGAGGTGGACAGCCTAGATGGAACTCCTCTTGATGACTCAGGTAACACAAAAGTCGTTTTTTGCTTTGGAGTCCTCACTTAATTTAAGAAAGTTGTTTTCAAATTTTCAGAGCCCCTCGATCCTGTAACAAACCTTTTAATAAATTGGAATAATTTGGATGGAGGAAACTCGAAAATTGAATTTAAGAAAGAATTGGTAAGTTACAATAATTGTGTGTTATCACTTGAAACAAGAACGATAGAGGGTTGGTTTCCTTAGTCTGTATGACTCAAGAATTACTCGTCTTAAACTCCGTTCTTGAAACAATTTTTTTTAGGAGATTGATAAGAGGCGTACGGACTTTTACAAGGAGCGTCTCTCCGATCATGGGTTCAATGGTTCTGCTTTAAATCCTACTCTTTACGACATGCTCTTTGTGTTTTCAGAAACAGAAAGGCTTAAGTCCGAAGAGTCTTGGCAAGCTTTGTTTCTGGTTGTGGTTCATAGTTTAGGGTCATAATTTTATTGTGTATATCAGTTGTTAGCTACAACTTTACTGTTAAAGGAGTAGTTCCGTAGTGGGTTCTGACAGGTGAAAATTTCTTACGTCCAGGTACTGCAACAAGTGTAAGAAGCATGTTGAAGCTACGAAGAAACTTACGCTTTACCGTTTACCGCCAATTCTCATCGTCCAACTGAAGAGGTTTGTGTATACCAGTTCCGTGTATTCTTTGCACCGTAGGTCGAAAGACGAAAGACGTGTAACATATCCAATTAAAGACTTGGATCTGAGGAATTTCCTGTGTGAAACCGCTCCGAAAGATCAGGTTGGTACCACTCGTAACTATTATTCATATTCGTAGTATAAGTGAAGAGGTTCTTAAGTTGTGTTTGTGTTCGAACAGTTTTTTGCCAGAGAATTAATTTCAAAACTTCGTATTGTGACAGCATCTTGCGAGGTTTGTTGTTTATTTGTTCTTGAATTCTTATTTTTAATGGAATCCACAGATAATCGTGTTATGGAAAATTAAATGAAAGATTATTTGAATGTAGGGAGGAGTAATTCTCCGTTCTCGTTTGAAGTTATTAAGAGATCATAGTTTACCTCACCTTCGGTTTTCATTTAATGAAATTGAGCAGTTATATTGCGCATTAGTGGAATTAGAAGTGAAGAGAATATTATTTTTGTGTAGTACAAAAGTTAGTGAAATAAGAAGTATTAACTAAGCTCATTGTCTGCAATGAAGCCTACCATTTCCAGAATACAAAGTATGATTTGACTGGTGTCGTTTGTCACTCAGGAAGCAGTTATTTTGGCCACTATGTTTCTATCGGAAGGTTGGCGAGTTTAGACGGGAGATCTACGGAAATTGGTAGGGTATTTTCGGCAGGCTTCGTTTTTTTTTGTTACTTAAGAATTTAATATGCACGGATTACGTTTAAGATGGGTAATTGTAGACTGGCGTGTTTTTGACGACTCTATGGTCACGAAGACGCAGAGCACGCGAGTGCAAAGCGACGACGCCTATTTACTTTTTTACAAGCAGCAAGGAGATAGAACAGAAAAAGTGCTTCGAAAATACGGATATGTTAAAAGTCCCGAGACATCCATGCACTCGCAAGCTGGTTTTACGAAATGAGGTTTTGTACACAGATATGCCTGTATCACTTTGTTACAAGTTTGGTACAAGCCTCTCCTCGACGGTGTGGATTTCTTCGTTCCCGCTTTAAGAGGCCAGTTCTGCCAGTTTGTGGAACCTGGAGTTTCTCTTCAGAGTGGCCGCTGGCTACATTATTTGCATAGTTTGAGTTAATTCGATTAGTTTTGAGTAATGTCGAGATTTTGATTTTCAAATCACAAAAATGTT